GGGGGGGAGAGGAACAGCAAAAGCAATGAAGAGGAATGGGAATGACTGAACAAGGATTTTGCTTCGCCTTAACTCTTAAGGTGTAATTACCATTTCGTTCTAATTGAGTTTTGGTGTTATTTCGCTTCTGATCGTTTTTTTTTTTCATTTAAAATAAACAATGGATATTTTTGTAATCTGCTCATTAATCAACATGAATGATTTGGCCTTGAAGAAGTAAAACAAGTAAAGAGCTGGGTATCTAGCCGAGTTGGCTAGGCTTGGTGTTGGTTTGATTTTACAGAAAAGGGCTTGATGTGTTCTTGTACTATCAGAAATAGTTATAAGTATCCTCCGTAATATTATTTTTCACTAACTACCCTTGTCGTTACATGTTTTAATATTTAGGCCCCTGCATCTAACCGTCCCATTTTTAAGGACACGTGGCACGATTTTAAATAGCCTAACCATCTATCCTTTTACCCTACCCATTTAGCCCGACCCAATAGCCTCCCGTTCACCCCTAAAAACACCTAATCTTGTTTTCTTGTCCAAAACTTGTGTTTGTTCCCATCATTTTTATAAAAGAAAACTTTACTGATATTTGATTGGCGAAAGAGGAAAATCATTTTTTCAGCCATAGTTGGAACTGATTTTTCCTTACACTTATTTCAATTTCTTTTTCATATAGTTTATTAAAAGATGAAAATGATTTTTCTTACTCATAGGTAAAACTGATTTTTCTTTACACTTACTTCAATTCTTTCTTCATATCACTTCATAATTTCAGTTCTTTCATTTGCGATGATAATAGTCAAGTCAAGGCTCCATTAGTGTCGGTGAAGATTGTCATGGCATTAAAGATAGGAAAGTAAGTTGCACTTCTTTGTTTGGTTAAAAGGTTAGGATGACGTTGGTATAACATAGTATTTTTTCTTCTGATTTCAACGATTATTACAAAAAAAATTGTCAAAAAGAACCATGTGGATCTTCCAATTTGTCTCGAAGATCAAAAGCCAAAAAAGTGTCAAGTTCGATGAAATATTGTTATTACTTCGGGATCGCTCATATTTTTGTTATTGAACTTATCATTGATGGAAAAGGGATTTCTTACACCATAAATTTCATAAGTAAAAATATATATAAAGCACATTGTGAAATTATTTGAGTATTAAATAATGAGTACAGTAAAATAAGGTCTAAATAAATTCATTTGATGTCAAATATGAGATACTAAACATCTGTATCAGATATTTAGCACGTAAAAGAAAAATATGTGCATTAATAAGGTATTCAAAGCTCTAATATCAGGCACCCCCTGAAAATTTAGGGAAGGAATATGTCGACCAACGTAAAGTCGAGAAAGGGATGGGGGTAACAAAGGAAAATCTAAGATGCATTTCGAACAAAAGTAATATTTCTCTTCAAAACGTGAAAGGACTTAAGGAGCAAATAAAATACAGTAGAGGACTTGGATTGGATTGTTTGAAAGTTGCACAAACAGTTAGCTAATTGAAAGAAATGGAGGTGAAGAGAGAAAATAGAGGGAAATCGCAACAGATGAGGCAACCCCCTAGTTTTGGAGAAGAAAACAAGCTTAAGTCTTTTCCTGGGCAAATTAGAGGCTATTGGGTCGGGTGGAACGGGTAGGGCAAAAGTTTAGATGGTTAGGCTATTTAAAATCGTGTCATGTAAAGATATCATTTGGCTACCAAGGAACAAAGTCACCAATACCCAACATAAACTTTTTGAAGCTTTCTCTCTCTAAGCTCTCAGCACACGTTATGCTAACGGACGCCGTCTGAGAACCAGCCATGGCGAGAAAGCGAGGATGACCTAAACGAGAACCACTTGTGACGGTCGGCGAAGCAATCAGTGCAACAGTAATTGCAGATACTCTAGGTAAAGGATCTATGCAGCAAGTAACAACATCAATCGGTCACCAATTTCAGCCTAATTCTCAAAAATTAGGATCACCTAGCAACACTAAGGGACCGGCGAAAAGGATAGATCTCAGTGCTTTGCAGATGCATGTGTCTTCATCTTCATGTGAAGGCACCCCAGCAAGTACAGTTATGGAGTTTACGAAGGAAAAGGAACAAGCAGCAGCAACGGAGCTGAATGTCAATAGAACAGTAACAACTGAGCAAAAGGATGAGCTAAAGCCACATGCAGTAGCACCGGAGAAGGGGAAAACATGGGCAAACTTATTCGCTGGCAACATATCTTCAGAAAATGGTATGGTACTGTCATGTATCCCACCGGAACTTGTTGATGGCAACATTGTGGTTAAAGTTGATAAGGAAGAAATTGAGGAACAGAATAAAAAGTGGGAGTGTGCCCTAATTATCTATATAATTGGGGATACACCAAGGTATAAATTCATGGAGAAATATATAACTGATGCCTGGAGTAGAGTGAGTATACCAGATTTATACTTTCATGATGAAGGATACTACATAGCAAAATTTGACACAATAGGGGATCTGAAAGACATTCTTTATGGAGGACCTTATACCATTAATGGTAGACCAATGATATTGAAACAATGGACTCCAGATTTTGACACTAAGGCAGAGTTCCTAATGGACATTCCTTTGTGGATCACTATTTCTAATTTGCCTATGAGCTACTGGGGTAACAAGACATTGAGCAAGCTAGCAAGTGCTATTGGGAAACCACTCTTTGCTGATGAATGTACCACTAAGCAGACACGTATTTCATATGCTAGAATTCTGGTAGAAGCTAATGTGACAAAAAAGCTTCCAACAGAATTGACATTACAAGAACCATCAAGGAAAATGATTCAGCTGCAGGTGGAGTATGAATGGAAACCCCAATATTGCATAAACTGCATGAAGATAGGACATGATTGTACTATGGAGAAGAAAGTGAACAAAGAAGAGCAGTACAGAGAAAGACAAAAGCAGGGGAAAATTACCACAAGGTGGCAAGTTAATGGGCAAAGACAACAATAACAAACAGATCTAAATGAGGGAACAAGCAACCCAGTGAGGCAGGAGAATGCAGTCATAAACACTGGAAGTGCTGAGAAGCCACAGGTAACAAAGGACAAAGGAAAAGCAAAAGAAATGCAGTATGTTGAACAAAGAGAGGAGTGGCCAGCTCTGGTTAGCAATAGTGGCAGGACACTGGAAAATGCAGCAATAACCACAAAAAATATATTTCAGGTATTGCAACATGAAGATGGAAGAATGGAGGAAACTAGGCCACCTAATTTGGGAGGTGGAATAATCATACATCAATGACTTGGCTAATATGAAACATTAGGGGACTGAATAAGAGACATAAACAAAAGAAAATAAAGTAGTACATAAAAGAAAAACACATCAAGTTGGCTGGTTTAGTTGAAACAAATGTGTAAGAGGACAAAGCAGGGAAGGTGATCAATAAAATAGTCCCTAATTGGAATAGGATGACTAATTATGAATATCCTCTGAATGGAAGGGTATGGATTATATGGGATGAGCATGTATATACAATACAACCACTAGACAACACATGATCAATTCATTCACTGTCTAGTAACTGGGAAGCAAAATGGGATGTATTGTTATCTCACAGTGGTGTATGGCCATAATGATGCTGATTAAACAAGAAATCTATGGGAACACATTAAAAGAATAGCTCAGAATACTACAGGACCTTGGCTAATTGGGGGAGACTTCAATGCTATTCTCTATGTCCAAGATAGACTCTCTAAAGTACCTATGAAAAGTGCAGATTTAAAGGACTTTGCTGAATTATGTCATGACATTGGTATTGCAAAATTACCATGGAAAGGGGATTATTTCACATGGACCAACAAGCAGCAAGGTGATGATAGGGTATGGAGTCGGATTGATAGAGTGTTTGGGAATGATATATGGATGATGAATTATAGTCACCTGAGCACTGAGTATGGGGAGCCTTATATCTCAGACCATAACCCCATGTCCATCAATATAAGGCAACCTCAGAAGCTTACCAAAAGTCCATTCAGATTCTTTAATGTATGCGCAAGCCATCCTGATTTTCAAATGATAGTAAGGGAAGAATGGAGCAACAACAAAGTAACAGGGGAGTATATAGGCCAAGCTTAAGAGGATGAAAAGCAAATTTAGACAACTGAATGAAGCTGAGTTCAAAGGAGTAGCTGAGAAGATAGATCAAGCCAGACAAACCATTCATCAAATACAAAGCCAGATGCAAAATAGCTATAGTGACCTACTGCAAGAACAAGAGAAAGAATGGTTGCAAAAGTTGGAGACATGGTCAATGGTGGAAGAGAAGATACTACAACAAAAGGCAAGAAACTGGATCAAGTTGGGTGATGCCAATAATAAGTTCTTCTCTGCAGTAATAAAGGAGAGACAACAGAGGAAACAACTTGTTGAGCTACAAACACTGTCAGGAAATACCATAACAGATCATGCAGCTATAAAGGAGGAGATTGTATCCTTCTACAAAAGCTTAATGGGTACTAGTGCACATGTACTTCTGGCTGTGGACAAGATGGTAATGAGGAAAGGACCTACTCTGACAAAGCAACATCAACAAGACTTGATAGCTAAAGTTACTTGTCAAGAGATAGATGAAGCTTTGAAAGGGATAGGAAATGATAAAGCACCAGGTATAGATGGGTACAATGCATAATTTTTCAAGAAAGCATAGCCATTGATCAAAGAAGAAATGTATGTAGCAGTGAAAGAATTTTTCCACACAGGGGTGATGTTTCCAGCAATCAACTGCACTACTATCACTTTGTTGCCAAAAATCCCTAATCCAGTGACTATTAAAGATTTCAGACCTATAGCCTGCTGCACTGTTTTATACAAGCTTATCTCTAAAGTCATAGCTGGTAGATTACAGAAGATCATGCCATACATCATATCCGAAGCCCAAGCGGGATTCATCCCAGGGAGGAAAATAGCATATAACATCATACTTGCTCATGAGCTAGTTAAGGCCTATAGCAGGAAACATATATCTCCTAGATGTATGATGAAGGTTGACATGATGAAAGCATATGACTCAGTTGAATGGGTGTATCTGAAGCAACTGTTAGAATACCTATGTTTTCCCACAAAATTCATTAATTGGGTGACAGTTTGTGTATCATCAGTGAGTTATTCAATCATGATAAATGGGGAACTGAAAAAGCCTTTTGAAGCTGCTAAAGGACTCAGATAGGGTGATCCCATATCACCATTTCTATTTACAATTGCAATGGAATACCTAAGTAGGCTGCTCAAACGATTGAAACATGTTAAGGAATACAGGTATCACCCTAGATGTGGTAAGCTAGATATAACCCACCTCAGCTTTGCAGATGATCTACTGATGTTTGCTAGAAGTGATTGCAAGTCTATCTCCACTCTACATGCTTGCTTTATGCAGTTCTCTGCTACATCTGGACTACTTGCTAATCCTAACAAGAGTGCAATTTATTCTGGAGGAGTTGCTCAGGATACTAGACAGGAAATTATACAGAAGACTGGATACTCACTTGGGGAGTTACCTTTCAAATATCTAGGCATCCCACTGGATACAAAGAAGCTAACAGCTATGCAATGGCAACCACTGATTGACAGAATAGTTGCAAGGATTTCCTCTTGGACAGCTAGAAAATTATCTTATGCTGGCAGGATACAGTTAGTCCAAACAGTTATCTTTGGTATCCAATCTTATTGGTCTCAAATATTCATTATGCCAACTAAGGTGGTGAGTATGATAGAATCATACTGCAGAAGCTATATTTGGTCTGGTACTAATGCAATTACAAAGAGAGCTTTGATAGCATGGGATACAATATGCTTGCCTAAATCTGCTGGAGGGTATAATTTACCGAATATCAGAGTCTGGAATAGAGCTGCTATCACTAAAGTCTATTGGGATTTGGCAAAGAAGAAAGACAAAATGTGGATAAAATGGATCCACACATACTACATAAAAGGCCAAAGCATAGTGGAGATGAACATACCCTAACAGGCCAGTTGGATGGTGAGGAAGATCATAGAGGCAAGAGAGGAGATACAACAACTGCCTACAGCTCAACTCAGTCAGAGTAGTATCAACCAAATATATTTAGGCATTTTCGGAACGTATAGCAAGGTGGCATGGAGAACCTTAATGTTTCACAATGAAGTTAGGCCCAAGGCAAGGTTCACTATGTGGATGCAATGCCATGGTAGATTGCTGACAACAGATAGGCTTGCAAACTGGGGAATACAAGTAAGCTCAAGATGCTGCTTATGCAATGGTGGTGATGAATCACATGCACATCTGTTTTTTGAATGCAGGTTTACTAAAGCAGTATGGGAAAGGCTTATGCAATGGCTACGAATTCAGGTGAATCCCAAGCACTCTTATACACAGATGATGGCATGGGTAGTAAAACAAGCTAAGGGGAAATCATGTGCAGCCAGAGTAATGAAAATGGTATATGCAGAACACATCTATGGGATATGGAGGGAGAGAAACAGTAGAATATTTGAAGAGACAAACATGACTACAGATCAAGTAGCAAGAGAAGTGGCATGTGTTTGCAATATTAGAGCTCAAGGAGGAATGAGGGCAAAACTGCAGCAGCTTATGTTTTGAAAACAATGTAGTAACTAACCAGCCTCTTGTATAGTATTCTTATGTACTGCTCATAGCATAGGATAGACTTAGACTATATGTAAAGATTAAGTGAGTCGAGGATGACTCTACAGATTTGTAATGACCTCTTTGGTGATTAATGAAAAATATAATTACCAAAAAAAAAATCGTGTCACGTGTCCTTAAAAATGGGTTTATTAGATGTAGGGGCATAAATATTGAAATGTGTAACAGCAGGGGTAGGTAGTGAAGAATAGTATAACGGAGGATACTTATAACTAATTTATGTTAATACATGGACAAATCTAGCCCTTTTCCGTTGATTTTAAGGTACATTTTATACAGTAATATAATATACGAAAAAGGGCCAAAACTGCTCTTGAACTATTGGCCAAGGGCTAAATATAGCCTCCGTCCATCTATCTGTCAAATAATTCCCTCAACGTTATCTTTTCGGTTCATTTATGCCCTTATGACTTACAGTCAACTTGAATTAAAAATAATACTCCCCCCGTTCTAGTTTATATGAACCTATTTCCTTTTCGGTCTGTCAAAAAAGAATGACTCCTTTCTAAATTTGGAAGCAATTTAGCTTAAACTTATAATTCTACACTTAATAAGAAGCTTTTATAACCAAACAAATACTCTGGGCCCTTTTTTAACTTGTTTAGGACAACAAATTCCAAAAGTCTTTACTTTTTCTTAAATTCCGTGCCCAGCCAAACATGTTCACATAAATTGAAATGGAGGGAGTAGTATTTAAATTTCATGTGTCATTTCATTATTGGTCCAATTCAATTAAATAAATGAAAAAGGGCCAAAACTACCCTTGAACTATTGGCGCAAGCTAAATACAACTTCCGTCCATCTATCGGTTCAAAAATACCCCTAAAAAATATTCGATTTTCTAACTTACCCGATTCAATCACTACCCGCCGTGAAAACATGAAATCTCACCGGAAAAATTATTCTTTCGACCATTTTTATTTTACTTTCTCCCGCTTTTATATTAAGACTTATTATTCTTGCGAACACCTAGATGGTCAAATTAGGTATTTGTCACGACCCCAATTTCCCACCTTAGGATATCGTAATGGCACCTAGTCTGTAAGACTAGGTAAGCCTAACACGTGCTGATTTAATAACATAATTGAACTATTTTAATTATTTATCATAAACCATTAAATGACATACATAGCCGCTAGTGGCCAACAGTTATACATTTCCCAAAACTAGTAGTACGGAGTCATAAGCACTACTGAAATATACTAGAATTTCGAAACACAATGCTATTTTGAATTACAATTTAGCAGTCGCATAATGAAGTAAGATGGTGACTCCGAGGCCTGCAAACATCAAGCATGTATACCTTGAAGTCTCCCGCCGCGCATACGCAACTCTCAACAACACAATTAGAATACCTGGATCTGCACATTTTTTGTGCAGAAGCATATTCCGAGTAAACCACAACGTTACCCAATAAATATCAAGCCTAACCTTGGTAGAGTAGTGATGAGGCTAGATCAAGACATCTACTAGATATAGAAACTTTTTCAAGATATACATAAGCTAACAATGGAAAGAACATCAATGTACGACCAACAACGAAAAATATTATTGATTTACAACCAATAATGAAGTAATAGAAACATAAATGGCAGCAAGTAGTAAACGAGTAATAAAGAAACAACATAATCAGAACATCGATGAGATGTAAACGAACTCAAATAAAGGAAAACGGATGACAACTCAAATAATTAAATCGCTCTCAACGCATAGACTTATAACAAGAATTATTCCGATGCACCACACTTCATAAACCACAATTCATGAACCACAATTTTTAAATCTTACACATATGACACCTCGTACCCACAATAACAATCACCTTCACACGACAAGCCCACATGCTATCATGTACTTTGCAACTATGATAAAAATTAATTTAGATAAACGAAAGATATATTTAGACACCATAAAACATAATAAAAATCTTGAATAAAGTAAGGTGTCAAACGAAATAGTTAGTTTATATAAGAAATCAAGTGAAGTAAAATAGTATACAATTTGTACGAAAGAGAGTATAAGATGGATTTAGTTTAGAAATCAATAAAATTGAGTAAAGTATCATTTTTTAAACAAAGCAATATACATAAGCTAAATTAACGAATTAAATATAGAATATGTTAAGAAAAAACATGATAAAAATTTTAAGTAACGTAAACATCTAATAGGGTGATGAGCATAATTTGAGAATCCAATTATAGTGAAAGTGCGATAACCATTTAGAATAATAAGGCACCGAGTGAGATACCGAGTTCTATCTCAAGAGGCACATAGAATAAGGCATGTTAATAATTCTTTTATTTAAACCATTATGTTATCAAAAACTCAACAGAATATGATATAGTGCTCAACGCAATTAAATTCACATTAACAACCAATTCACCAAGTTATAATGGAGGCATATATTGGCATGTTAAAGCAACACAACAAATCACGCAGATTGCATGACTCACACAAAAAATTACAATCGTTCCAACACCAAGATAATAACGAATAACCAAACACAATCAAAATGCAGATGAATGATTGAAGAAAGAACAATGACTGTTCAATTCAACAAGTTGTTTCAACATGGAATGTACAATAAAAATCACAATCGAGGTACCGCCCCGTATTTACATTTCATAATTTTAATCACAATCTTTTCTTATATCACCGTGTGAGCCTTACATTTAGTTTTAAAAATCACTTTTTCCGAAATAGCTGCCCGCATTTTAGCCTACCTTATCTAACCGCGTGGCTTCAAATAGTTCCCCTACTAGCAACACGCGTATCAAGCCCACCTTATCTCGCCGCATGTGTATCAACCCCTAGCCTTACACCACCACATGCGTATCAATATCACAACATAATCACAACTCGCACCACAAGTGCCCATATGCCACAACTTGCCACAAAATCAACAACACCAATATTTCCACAATAAATAGCTCATAGCTCAAGCACAATATGTACAAGAATTTCAGCAATAACAAAATGAATGAGAATGCACAACAAGGAAAGGTATCTCCATAATTAACTACTTCGCCTCAATGTGATAACGGCTATTACAACTTCAACACCAACAACTCAACAAGATGATATTCCATGAAATAAAAACTTCAAAAAAAGTGATTCAACAATTAAGAGGTAACAAGACAATAAGGAAGTCAATAACTTCAACTAAAGCATATAAGAGTAGATTAACAATGAGAGATATAACATGTTATGACAATTCAATTAAAGGCATAGAAAGAGTCTAGATAATCTAAACTGGCCAAATACAACATATAGCCCGTGTACTCACTCGTCACCTTGCGTACACTGCTTTCACATAAAACAAATAGCACAATCAACCCAAATCCTAAGGGGTAATTCCCAACACAAAGTTAGGCAAGATAGATACCTCAACTAGGCCAACTCAACCCTCCGAAATAGCTTTTCCCCTAAAATTTGCCTCCACACGACTTAAATCTAACCAAAAATAACTTAATAACATCAAACAATGCAAGAGAAACTAATTACAATAAATAAAGCTATAATCTTTATATTTTTCCCAAGAAAATCACAAGAGTCAATGTCGGACCCGCGTTGGATTCCGAATCCAAGCTTACTCGGGCGAAGCCCCAACCAATACAAGCTCACATGAACATCAATGTAAGACCAACGGCGAAAAAAATTATTGATTTACAACCAACAATGAAGTAATAGAAACAAATATAGCGGAAAGTAGTAAACGTGTAATAAAGAAACAGCATAATCAGAACACCGATGAGATGTAAATGAACTCAAATAAGGAAATACGGATGACAACTCAAATAAGTAAATCGCTCCCAACGCATAGACTTATAACAAGAATTATTCTGATGCACCACACTTCATAAACCACAATTCATGAACCACAATTTTCAAATCTTACACATATGGCACCTCGCGCCCACAATAACAATCACCTTCACACGACAAGCCCACATGCTACCATGTACTTTGCTACTGTGATAAAATTAATTTAGATGAACGAAAGATATATTTAGACACCATAAAACATAATAACAATCTTGAATAAAGTAAGGTGTCAAATGAAATAGTTAGTTTATATTAGAAATCAAGTGAAGTAAAATAGTATACAATTTGTACGAAAGAGAGTATAAGATGGATTTAGTTTAGAAATCAATAAAATTGAGTAAAGTATCATCTTTTAAACAAAGCAATATACATAAGTTAAATTAACGAATTAAATATAGAATATGTTAAGAAAAAACATGATAAAAATTTTAAGTAACGTAATCAACTAACAGGGTGATGAGTATAATTTGAGAATCCAATTATTGTAAAAGTGCGATAACCATTTAAAATAATAAGCCACCGAGTGAAATAACGAGTTCTATCTCAAGAGGCACATCGAAGAAACTTGAAGAACATCCTTGAACTCTCTCAATCCCAAACTTTCAAGATGAGAAAAACTAAAATAATATTAATAGCCGAAAATGCCCAGATGTTCTACCTCGTTTCTTGTGCCAAATGATGACGAAACTCGCTTTTTATACTCCCAACAGATTCCTCGTGAAATTCCAGTCAAGTGAGGCTTTTGAATCACTCTATTTGACCTTATCATGAATGAGATATGTTGGTTTCAATATTTGAAAATAGTGCAGATTTTTAATTACGAATTCAGTGGCACTTTCGTAATTACTCTAAAAAATCTAGAAACCCAATTCTAAGTAAAATGGCCATAAATTCCTCATACGATGACGAAATTTGATGATTTCAGTTGGCATGTTTCCAAAATTACGATACAGATAAAACGGTTTAGTAGAAATATGAATCAAATGTTGTTTGCTCAATATGGTAACCTTTATGCTCAAATCGATGTCAAAAAATGAAACTATCACCATACAACCCAAACTTATCCAAAACTCCTCGGAATTTAACCAAACTTTGTGGAGATACCCAAA